GTGGCATGCGCCTGTAATCCCAGCTACTTGGGAGGCTGAGCCAGGAGAATCGCTTGAACCCGGGAGGTAGAACTCGCTTGCAGTGAGCCGAGATCCAGTCACTGCACTCCATCCTGGTGACAGAGCAAGAATGTAGAGTGTAAAAAAAAAAAAAAAAAAAAAAAAGCCAAAAGAACAGCAAATAAATCTTAAACTTCATTCAGTTGTCTTTATTTTCTAGAGTTATACTGGTATTGTCTTTTGGAATTATTTTATGTATTTTGTAGAGTAAAGCAAATATTTAATTATGTTGTTAGAAACTAAGATTTTTCATCTAAGAGAAAAGACAAGTTTACAATAAGTTAAGGGGAGCTCCTGAAACATTAGATTTGAATTGGAAATATCAGTATAAACCTCAGTTGTTCTCGTAACTGAAAAGATTTAGAAGCATGGACATCCCACTAGCAATGAGCACCCCATAAGCCCACACTTGTGGTTTTTTTTTTTCCTCTCACACAGGGTCTTGCTCTGTTGCCCAGACTGGAGTGCAGTGGAGCAATCATGGTTCACTGCAGCCTGAAACTCCTGGGCTCAAGTGATCCTCCTGCCTCAGCCTCCTGAGCAGCTGAAACTATAGGTGTGAGCCACCATGTCTGGTTCATTTTTTAACTTTTGTGCAGTTGGGGTCTTGCTATGCTGCTCAAGCTGCTCTCAAATTCCTGGGCTCAAGCAATCCTCCTGCTTAGCCTCTCAAAGTGCTCAGATTATAGGCATGAGCCTTGCCAAATTAAAAAAAAAAAAACTGTTTGTAGAGGCTGGTCTGGAACTCCTGGTCTTGAGTGATCCTCACCCCTCAGCCTCTCAAAGTGCTGAGATTACAAGTGTGAGTCACCATGCCCAGCTTACTTTTCTTCAGAATTAAAAAGGTTTTTAAAAACCCCTGTCCCGCCCTAGTCCTATCTCATCTCACTGAATGGCTCCCCCTTACATCTGCTTCCGAAAAACAAAGTCCTGGCTGTCATCCTTGGTGACTCATTTCCGCCCATCCCGGCTTGGATCCATCAGCATTTATCCACTTACTAACTCCAAGATGTATTAAGCATCGACTGGGGCCAGGCATTAAATCCCCCATGGACCAAGCACGGCACAGATACCTGAGTGGAAAGGGAACAAAAATACCCAGGGTCGGCCGGGCGTGGTGGCTCACGCCTGTAATCCCAGCACTTTGAGAGGCCAAGACGGGCGGATCCCTGAGGTCAGGAGTTCAAGACCAACCTGGCCAACATGGTAAAATGCCATTTCTACTAAAAACACAAAAATTAGCCGGGCATGGTGGTATGCACTTGTAGTCCCAGCTACTTCGGAGGCTGCGGCAGGAGAATCGCTTGAACCCGGGAGGCGGAGGTTGCAGTGAGCGGAGATGGCGCCACCGCTACTCCAGCCTGGGCAACGAGAGCAAAACTCCGCCCCTGCCCCACCCCCCGACAAAAAATACCCAGGGTCAGAACCTGAAGTCGCTGACCCTATCAGTTCCTTCACAGCTGACCCTCCTCCTCTCACCTCTCTACCTCCACACAGACCTGAGACACACCTGACAGCCATGGTGGCCTCTGTCCTTCCTGGAACATTCCAGGAAACATTCCAGGGTGCCTCCCCAGGGTCCAGCTTGCTTTTAGGGGTTCCCCCATTTTTGCCTAGAATGTTCTCTCACCAGATTTCTGCATGACGCCCCCTCTCTTCTTCAAGCCATCAAACATCACCTCCGCGAGGCCCTCCGACCACCGTGTTTGAAATTATGACACCCCCACACCCAGTGCTGCCAGCCCTTTGCCCACTTCGCTTTCTCCTAACCACTTGACTTCCTGACTGTGGTGATCGTCTTTCTTCCCCAACTAGAACGGAACCCTGGTGAGGACGGGGACTTGGCTGTTCTACTCACTGCTACACCCTGGGCCAACAGTCTTGGGATATGGTAGATGCTCAATAAAGATTTGGTGACTGACTCCATACAACCCCACTGTAAGGTGAGTCCTACTCGCCTTCATTTTACAGATCTCTCCCAAGGTTCAGAGAGGAGAGGTGACTTGCCCAAGACCACACAGCAAACATGGTAGGGCAGGCCGCTGGCCTGTCCTCACAGAGGAGCCTCCCATTATTCCTCCAGGAAGTCAGACAGATCAAGGTTTGAATCCTGGCTCTGCCCCTGCTGGCCTCCTGGCCAAGCTGTTACCTCCCTGGAAGAGCCTTTTCCCTCTCTGATTCTCACTTGCCTCAGCCCTCCCTAAAAGGAGGGCTAAATGAGGTAGTGCTACAGGGTGTGTGCCTCATGAGAGGGGAGCCCCAAAACCCTCCACTGCTGTCCCCCTGGGGCGCAGGCCCACCTTGACCTGGGCATAGAAGCTGCCCAGGCTGCAGCACACGCGGCACTCGAGCATGGCGTCATCGTTGTTGTGGGCGTAGCGCAGGGCCTTCTCGAAGCTCTCCAGGGCCTTCTGGAAGACGCTGAGGCCCAGGAAGGCATTGCCCATGCTCAGGCTGACCTGGCCTCCGAGCTGGGCACCTGCCCTGGTACCAGGCAGCCCAAGGCAGGTCTTGCAGTAGGAGATGGTCTTGTGAAACTCGCACAGCTTCTCGTTGCTGCGGGCCAGGTTCAGGTAGCTCTCCAGGAGGAAGTCGGCATCCTCCAGCTCCCGGGCCGTGTCGATCTGGACCACAGCGAACTGTACACCGCGACGGTGGGCAGGTGGTGCTCAGCCTGGACTCTGAGCCTTGGACCCCAGCCTGCACTGCAGGCTCAGACCTGGAGGCCCCACACCCACTCCCCAGCCTCACACCCAAAGCAGAAGATCCCAAATATTCAGACCCAGAGCTTCTACCCACCAGCCTCAGCTACCTTCCCTACACTCCAGCCTCACCTCCCAAGCTCAGGCTCGCAGCCTTCACCTTCTATCCCAAGCCTCAGATCTGGAATCTCCACCACCCACCCACCCCCAGCCTCAACCCTGGAGCCCACACCCCGCCAGGCTCAGATACAGAACACCAGACAGGAAGGCTGAAACCTACACTGGGCTTGAGACCCACGAACACTCGACCCTGAGGCCAGAGAACCTCAGTCTCAGAGACTCGGGCACTGCAGTTCAAGGCCACAGGCCTGAATCTGACGCCAAGACTCAGCATCTAAGAGCCACGGCCTTAGATATAAATTCAGAGCCTCAGGCCCCGGCTGCCAGCCTGTGGGACACAGGGGAGCCCGAGGAGGCTGAGAAGGGACTGGGGAGCCTGGGAGACATCCAGCCCCAGCCTGACCCTCGCACGTCCCCAGGCCGGGTACACCCACCTTCAGCATCTCCTTGTATCGGCCCATCTCTGAGTGGGCCGTGACCAGGCAGCCCAGCACGCGGAAGCGCCCCATGAGGTCCGAGCTCTTCTCCAGCACCTTCATCCACACCTGCAGTGCTTTCTCTGTCTGGTTGGACTGATACAGCTGGAGTCCCTTCTCGATCTGCTGCTTGGTCTGGTCCTGCCCCATGCTCCCCAAGCCCTGTGCCCCACGTGGGGTGACCCCTCGTGGCTCCGTGCCTCTAGGCACTCATAGCACAGGAATCACAGTGCCGGCTGCCCCCTGAAACCTGGGAACAAAAGCAGCATCGGGTGGGAGCGGGAGTGGGGCCTGGATGGAGAGCAGGCGCCACCCTGGGAACAAGGCTGGTTCAGTCCCTGTCCGCAGCTGTCCCTGCCAGTTGGGGCCACGTGGCCTCTGAGGAATGTCAGCAGCAAGGTCACGCGGGCCTCTGCGCACCCACTCGCGAGCTGGGACGTGGCTTCCCTGAACATACAGGCATCTTGACACCTGGGCACCCCCTTGGGCGTCCCTGAGGCACCTCCAACACTGACTCTGACCGCCCTGGCAGCACGGGCCCTCCCAGCAGCCTCGCCAAGGGGCCAGCTCCAGCAAGTGGGCAGGCCTTGGACCAGAGGTGCTTGGGGGAAGGAGAGCAAGGCTGGACCTGCAGGTCTGGGGAAGCCAGGTGAGCGCCCAGCCCTGCTTCTCCCCCATCAAGACACCCCCCACCACAGCCTCCCTGGGCTCTGTTCCTGAAATTCACTGAGCACTGTGGGTCACTCATTCAGGCCCAGGCCGACACCATTCAGCGCCTCTCACCTTAGAGAGTCTGGGAAAGGCCTCCAGCTGGTGAGAGGCCTGAGCTCTAGCCTGGCTTCCTTCGAACTCCCAGTGGGACCCTAGTCAAGTGACCCGGCACCGTGGCCTGAAGGGAGGAATGGTACCTAGCTCACTGGACCGCTATAAGAACTCAATGATGAAAGAGTTGAGAAGGACTTAGGACAGTGCACGCTACAGGAAACCCCGTATGTGCTGCACGAGGCTATCTTGCTTGGTGGCAAATGCCCACCCGGGCCAGAGCCCAGCTCTTGAAGTTTCAGTGTCTCAATTCCAATCCCAACCCCGGGTTGAAAGGGTCCCCATAATGAGCTTTAACACCAGATACTGTGGAGAAGGGCAAGGTCTTATGTAGTACTGGGACCCCAGCCAGCAGGCCAGCTCATCCAGCCCCCTTTCTCCTCTCTCTGCATGCCAGCCTTCTTCCTGCCCCAGTGCAAAGTTCATCCCTTCCGGCTGGCCAGTTCAGCCGTTTTTAGTATACTCACAAAGATGCACACTAATTACCACTAATTCCAGAACATTTTAATCACCCCAAAAAGGAGACGCACACCCAGCAGCAGTTACACCACTCCATTCCCCACCTTGATATGGCTGAATCATGTCCCCCCCCAACCAAATGCATATGTTTAAGTCCTAACACTATCTCAAAATGTGACTGTCTTTGAAGACAGGGTCTTTAAAGGGTAATTAAGGTAAAATGAAGTCACATGGTACCTCATCCAGTAAGACTGGTATCCCCCCCGCCCCTTTTGAGACAGGATCTCACTCTGTCACCCAGGTTGGAGTGCAGTGGTGCAGTCACAGCTCACTGCAACCTCTACCTCCTAGGCTCAAGTGATCCTCCCACCTCAGTCTCCTGGGTAGCTGAGACCACAGGTGTGCATCACTGCACCCAGCTAGTTTTTTGTAGAGATGAGTTTCACCATGTTGCCCAGGCTGGTCTTGAACTCCTGGAGGTGGAGGTTGCACTGAGCCGTGATTGCGCCACTGCACTCCAGCCCAAGCAACAGAGCAAGACCTTGTCTCAAAAAATAAATAAACAATAAATTTTTATTTTTAAAAATTATTTTATTTTTGAGATGGAGTTTTGGTCTTGTTGCCTAGGCTGGAGTGCAGAGGGACAATCTCAGTTCACTGAGACCTCTACCTCCCGGGTTCAAGTGATTCTCCTGCCTCAGCCTCCCAAGTAGCTGGGACTACAGGTGTGCGTCACTATGCCTGGCTAATTCTTTGTATTTAGTAGAGACAGGGTTTCACCATGTTAGTCAGGCTGGTCTCGAACTCCTGACCTCAGTTGATCCACCTGCCTCAGAACCTCCCAAAGTGTTGGGGTTATAGGTGTGAGCCACCATGCCTGGCCACAACGTTTTTTGTTTTTGTTTTTGCTTTTGTTTTTGTTTTTTAGACAGAGTTTCCCTCTGTTGCCCAGGCTGGAGTGCAGTGGTGCCATCTCGGCTCACTGCAACCTTCCCCTCTCAGGTTCAAGTGATTCTCCTGCCTCAGCCTCCTGAGTAGCTGGGATTACAGGTGCCCACCACTATGCCTGGCTAATTTTTGTATTTTTAGTAGAGATGGGGTTTCACAATGTTGGCCAGGCTGGTCTGGAACTCCTGACCTCGTGATCTGCCCACCTCTGCCTCCCAAAGTGTTGAGATTACAGGTGTGAGCCCCTGCACCTGGCCCACAATAAATGTTTAAAAAGGACACAGTCACATAGAAGAAGAGTATGTGAAGACACAGGGAGAAGATGGCTATCTACAAGCCCAGGAGCAAGGCCTTACAATGAAACCAACTCTGCCAATTCCTTGTTCTTGAACTTCTAGGCTCCAGAACTGTGAGAAAATAAATTTCTGTTATTTAAGCCACCCCGTGTCTATGGACCTGTCTATTGTGGACCCTTCATAGGAATGGAATCATACAATATGTGGTCATCTATGACTGGCTTCTTTAACTTGGCATAATGTTTTCAAGATTCATCTACGTTTTCAACCGTATCGGAACTTCATTACTTATTGTGGTTGGTTAATACTCATCTGGATATACATTTTGTTGATTCATCAGTTAATGGGCATTTCGGTCGTTTCATTTTTGGCTATTATGAATAATGATGCTATAAAAATTCATGTACAGCCTGGCACAGTGGCTCACGCCTGTAATCCTAGCACTTTGGGAGGCCGAGGCGGGCAGATCACAAGGTCAGAAGATCGAGACCATCCTGGCTAACACAGTGAAACCCTGTCTCTACTAAAAATACAAAAAATTAGCCGGGCGTAGTGACGGGCGCCTGTGGTCCCAGCTACTCAGGAGGCTGAGGCAGGAGAATGGTGTGGGCATGGGAGGCAGAGCTTGCAGTGAGCCAAGACGGCGCCACTGCACTCCAGCCTGGGCGACAGAGCGAGACTCTGTCTCAAAAAAAAGAAAAAAAAAAAATTCATGTACAAGTTGGGCTGGGCACAGTGGCTGACGCCTGTAATCCCAGCACACTAGGAGGCTGAAGCAGGCAGATTGCTTGAGCCCAGGAGTTGGAGACCAGCCTGGGAAACATAGTGAGACCCCATATCTACAAAAAATACAAAAAA